ACCAAAGCCTTTCGGCTGATGGTGGCTTTGGTTTGAGCCAAGGGAGCGGGGAGGTGAAACCCAACCACGTGCTACGTGGGGCTTTTTCCTGCTCCCTGCTTCCCCACGTGCTGATATTCAAATTAATTGACCTAAAGGAAAACCAACACGCGGGTTACAAGGGTTCTCGGTTTGCTCGGGGTGAGTGTTAACAGTGTTGATTTTCCATGGAAGTGTCTTGGAGCGTTTCGCTTTCAAATGTTAACTTTTCTACATTGCCCAGAAAAATTTAAGAGAGCTGTATTCCCTGGCTGCTGTCAGACATCACAGAAAATCAGCAGAAAAGGAGCTGGGCTCACTGGAGAAACACACCATTTTTAGCGTCATCTCTTCTGAATCCTCCTAATCTTGTGTAGCATCCTTTTGTCTTATCCTATCAAAGTGTGACAAAGCCTTTTCATGAGGGTTGTTTTACAGATGCTCGTAGTTCAGCAAAGCATTTTTCCTCATTCATACGGAGCGCTGTTGTTGCTGTTAATTGTATGTGTTACAGGAGCACCTCCGGGCCCTGCTGGGATGAATGATGGGCATATCTGTAATTCGAGGATTTGAAGGTGGTGGCTGGGAGGGCACGAGGAGGCAGGCAAAGCTGGGGATGCCTCTGGGGCAGGGAAGCACTGGATGTAGCCTTGCTTTCCTCTTTCCCAGGGCAGAGTGGTTCCTCACTGGCTCTTCTGAGGATGCTCCTGAGAGATGCTGTGGTGTGAGGGGTGTGTATGTATGCTCTGGGCTTCAAGGTGAAGACAGTAAATGTATTTGGCAAAGCTCTCCTTCAAAGCCGTGGGGGCTTTTGTGTGGCTCATCTGCATGGTATGCCCTGCGTTGAGACCCATGGGAGCTCCTTCCTTCTCTGACTCTGCCCCAACACCTTACCAGACTCATATGTTTTATAAAATAAATGCACAAAAGCTTGGTGCTGTACTGTTCTGGCTGGCTTCGACTTGGTCAGGCAGCCCCTGGAGTCTCCACGGCAGCTGGGCATCCAGGTTTTTCTGGCAGCTGGGAAAACATTCAAAATGATTTTCTCCCTTCCCTCCTCCTTGGAAAAAAAAAAAGAAGAAAATAAACGATTAGAGCTTGCTAAGGGTTTTCTGTTACACCATTAAACCCTGCACAGCATGACTCCAAACAGCCCTTAAGGCTGTGGTCTTCTGTCTTCCCATCCATCTTGTGTCTGTCATGTCCCTGCTAACTTAAGGATGTTTCTGTGGAGGAGGAGTGGGGACCCATTGCAGATGCAACTGCACATTGCAATCATTGTGACCTGTCTCACATCACAGATATTTTAATACCCTTTTTTTTCCCTTGCGGTGAGGCCTCAAGTTCCCATGCTGTCCTGTGCTGAGCTGTGCAAGGTTAGGGCATTGCCCGAGCTCCCAGGCAGAGCCCATCCCATCAGTGTGTCCTTCCCTGGCCATCAAGACCTGGTAGAAAATTATCTGCAGGATGCTCTGCAGCTTCAGGCCAGGAATGAGACAGGATTTTGGAGGCTTTACCTGTTTTCTGTGCTCTCCTCCTAGGATACTTCCAAGTGGGGTCAAAACTATCTGCAATCCTCCTGTTTAACAGTAGCCAGAGTAATGCAAGGAGGGGGGGTATCTCTGTTGGATCCCCATAGCTTCTGTAGCTGTAAAGCTGCAGTCCCATGTAAAATCCCACCATGGGGAACGTTTTGTTGCCACTAGTGGCACAAATCACTTGGCAAGTGATGAGATTTCCAGCATCCTGTGGCTGTTCCCCTTGGGTGGAATGGAAGGGAGCTGTGGGGAGTGGAAGTGAAATCAGACTTGCCTTTTGCAGACATATTTTGGGGTGTAGGCTGTTCCCCTTGCCCAATATTTTGCTTATATTTGCAGCTCCCTCCTCGGTGTCTGCTGGCGTGCTGCTGCCCGGGGTGGCCAATCCTGCCGGCAGTGCCATCCAGCCCCAGGCTGTTGCTGGGCAGGCGTTGAGGCAGCAGATCCTAAGGCATAACTTGGAGCCCAAGGTCTGAGGGCGACTGGATGCACGAGCTCCTGGTTTGGAGGGGTCCCACACCTCGCCTGTAGCCCTCACCCCTGGAGGGTCAGATCACTTGGTGTTGGATCTGAGCCTTGCACATGCTCTGCCCCCGTCCCCCCTGGCTGGCTAATCGGTGCCTGCTCCGGCTGCCAGGATCTCTCTGTTTTTAATCATTAGGAAATGTATATAAAATTGATGGATGATGTGATAGTGATGTACAATACTTACATGGTCTTTAAAGCAAGTATAATTGTAAAAATCTATTAGAAACCAAGGCTGGCAGGAGACTTGTGTTACTGGAAGTCTGATTTTGTCCCAACACATCCTTCCATCAATTCTTTTGTGAGAGTTAAAAATTGGCTGGCTTCAGTGGAGTTAATAATCATCTGAAATGGAGTTGAGTAACTGATGTTGCTGCATCAAAATGTTTCCCTCTTCCCTTCCCCCTCCTCCCCCCCCACTTCCCCCAAAAAAGAAATTCCTGGCTGATACTCAAAATCCAGTTCAGTTCTCACTGTGCAAGTATTAAACTGTGGGCCTTTTCTTTCAAGTTTCTGGATTTTTATGGGCACAATCGGTCTGTTAACAGGACTTTTTTTTTTTTTTTTTTTTTTTTTAAATAGCTTTCTTTCCTGTTATTTTTAAACTAACAAGTAAAATCAAGGGACACTGCCCCAAAATGCTGCATTGAGATTTAGCAGAGTCATCGGGGAAATAATCCCTTAAAGAAATGAAGTGGGAGTCTGGATGGAAGGGTGCCAGCCGGGAGGAGAGGATGGTGTCATTATGATAAAGGTTTGATCGAGGGACAGGAGAGAGTAAAATGGAGCACCCTGGCTTGCAGGAGGAAACCTGGGAGGGTGAAGATTATACAGCTCTAGTGCTTGGTCCTGTAAAGTCCTACTCATAGGGCACATCCCCAGAAGATGTGTTTTCAGGCTAAGTATCAGAAATATCAGACACCCTGCCCTCAAATTAGTTGCTTTTCCTTTCTTGGCTCTGCCTGTCCCCTGCCCGCTTACAGGAATATCTGTCTGGTAGCAGTCAGAAGCAAATAAAAACAAACTGCTTTTTGTTTGCTCTTATTTTAAACACTGTGACAACATTTGGATTAATGTTAGGTCTTGTGAAAAGCACTTTAAAAGTCAAACATACTGAGCTGCTTAACAACATCCCTTTGAATGCTGCATCTGCCTGCTGCAATTCCAGATAATGGTCTGGAGAGCAAGGAAACATTGTATTTCTTTTTTTCTCCTGGTAATCAGTCCATTAAATATTCTTGAAGTTTCATATTCTGGAGGTATTTAATTGTGTAGCCACTTGGGCCAAGTTCCGTATTTTGGTGTGCCTTTGAGTATTTCGTCTTCCTTTGGCAAGCAAATGAATAACAGAAATACTAAATTATGTTAATTTTTAACAGAAGCAATGTCTTCCCAAAAACGTTCCAATCTACTGCATTTTAAATAAAACCAACACATCAACAGTGCATCAAGCCATTTGGAGCCTCAGCCTCTATTAGTTTTAATCAGCAGATTTTTCTAGGGGCTTTTAGAAGCAAATTGTGCATTGCTCACTCTTCCCCAGGAGGAGTGAGGGAGAAGAACAATAGATTATCTTTGTGCAGGCACACCGAACCCTGAAATACTGAATTAAAAAAGTGCATGAACAGGGTAGAGGTTATACAGGGGGAGAGCTAAGAGGAGGGTGCATCAGCGGTGTGCAAGGGGTGCTCTGTGGATGGTACCTGCCTTGGCTACTGCGGCTGCAAATAAATCCTTCTCCTGGAGGAGACCAAATCAGATTTATTTGGGTTCCCTGTGCAGCACGCAGGGGTTGAGGTTTCCTGCAGGTCGCCCCAGGGCTGTGGGAGATGTGGAGAGGCATTTCTGTGGCTCTCGCCCTCGGCTCGGGCATTAGCAGCTCCTACGTGTGCAGGTGGGATGAGCCACAGCCGGCAGCCTCCGTGCTGGGGGGTTGCTGGAAAAGAACATTTTATCCATTCCTGTGCTTTCTCCAAGGGTTGAGCCTAAATGCTGGTAGTATATAGAGGCGCTTAGGAAAGTGATGGATTTGAAGCCTCTGTGTGGAGAGACTGGCATGGAAAGCCAAAGGAATGAGGGTAACCTTTGCTTTTTATAGCCTGCTGTTATTTGCTCATGCCAGCTAACACCAATACCCTCTACTTTAACTGTGCAGAGCTCCACCCACGGTGCAGTCAGACTTGGTGCCCAAGTAAACAGGCTCCTGACCAGGGTTAGCCCTAGTGGAAACCGCTGGGGAAGCAAAAACCCTCTCTTGTCTTTGCTTGGCTCTTACTGGATAGGAGAAATCAGCTGGAGAGAGGGGCTTTGCCTGGGCGGCTGTGGAGATGTTGCATGGAAGGGATGAACAGGATCATGGAGGGAGTGCAGGTGGCTGATGTCTGCCCGGGCAGAAACCTGAGTGAGACACCGGAGCTGCTGCGCCGGCTCTCGGGGGAGCTGGGAAAGCAGGTGGTGAGCAGGGAATTGTCCGCTTGCCTGAAAATCCAGGAGGTGCCGCTCGGCACCGATGTGGAGGGGAGGTGATTATCCATGTGGGTGCTCTTTTATTGTTCAGGTGTAGCCATCACGGGTGTCCCAGTGGCCTGCAGGGCCCGGGGCTGGTGCTTGATGAAGCTGAGACTGGAGAGGGGCTGTCACAGCATCTGCTGGGGGCTGATGATGGGGATGGCTTTGGGCCAAAATGAGAACGAGTGGTGATTTCTTGTGTCCAACTGGTTTTGCAGAGACTCAGCTGTTCTTGAACTCCCCATCACTTTTTGGAAATGGGTGCCCGTGGGTTTCATGTCCCACTTCCAGCAGGCTTTTCTTCGCAGAGTTCCCCACTCTGGAAAGGGAGTCCAAGCCACTGACCACAGGTTTGTACTTTGGATGCCTTCCAGCACATCCAGATTTCACTATTTGTTTTTCTCTGTGCAGCTCTGGGCAATGCCAGTGTAAAGTTGGTGTCATGGGCCTGAAGTGTGACCAGTGCAGTGAGGGATACTACAGGTTCAATGAAACCACCTGCGAGCCGTGCCAGTGCAACAACCACTCCAAAATCTGCGACAGCTTAACAGGTAACCTTCCTCTTGGGACCACGGTGGGTGCAGACTTCATTTGACTCCTTTGTCTCTGTTTTTTGCCATTTTATTCATTCGTCAGACCTCTGCTCTCATCCTCTTCATCTACATCTTTATGCCTTGAGTACTCAGAATCTTTACCTTAAAACTGAAATTAAAATGCGGGGCAAGGTTGGAGCTAGTCCTCTTCTCAAGGAAGTCAATAAAGGTTGTGTTATTTACCCCAGGCTGCAGTGCAGAGCCTTTATTCTGCAGTCTCCATTGGAAATCAGTGCTCCATTGTTCTCTGCACTTACCAAAATACACAACACGGTCTTTTCAGGGGCTTTTGTTTAACTGCTGTTTACCTGGAAACATATACTGTACTGGCACTGATGTAATGTGACTTTTATTACCACAGATAACATGATTAGTGCTGGAAAAAAGCAGCAACACTTAATTAATATTGCCCACTTTTTATAAAATTTGCCTCATTCATTTTCCTTGATCATTTCTTTGACTGTCTCTCACACAGACGTTGATGGAGTGCAAATGTCGAGGCACCTGTGCTTGAATTGCTTATGGGAGTGCAGGGGGGCCCTGATTGCTTTCCCATCTCCACTGAAAGGAGAGATCCTGCAGGATGTTATGTGACTGCCTGCGCAATCCTCACTTTAGCAACAAAACTCACACTTCAAAATCCAAATTATCATCAAAACTTCCAGGCTGAAATGCAGTTCTGTAATATTTATCCAGGAGCTTAGAAAGGAGTAATAATTTTAAAAAGTGTTGCAGGGTTTTTGCATGACTGGCAGCAAGGCAGAGCTCGGCAAATAATGTATTTCTGGGCAATTTCTGCACCGGTGTGTGTTCCCTCAGGGCCTGTGTGTTTGCAGCAGAGGAACGAGTGGCTGTAGTGGTGACTGTGCCCAGCCAGTGCCCTGGTCCTGCTCGGGGTAGCAGCAGGCACCAGATATGCACTCCCTGGGGATGAATTACTGCATCCATTCCTGTACTGAACTTCATGAGCTTATGTCCTACCAATATTGGAGGATATAAGATTGTACCTAAAGCTGTGCACATATCAGCTGTGTTACTGATTTGGAGCTGGGTGTGTGGGTTTTGTGAAGGAGTAAGATAATCTGCTCTTCCTTTTTCTCCTTCAATGTTTCCCCCTCGCTTAGTTTTGGAAAAAAAAAAAACCAACCACCCAGCACAGACCTTGCCTGCAGGATAGGGCTGTTCAGGCAAGTGTTCTGCTGGGGTTGTCTAGTGCTGACTGCAGCATTGCAAAGAAAAACCCTCTTTTTGGTTAATGACCTATTGTTGATTTGACAGAAATCCCTTTTTAAAAATTTTCTTCCATCTGCTTTATTTGGTGCTGGGGGTGGGGGAACCCAACAAAACCAGCACAAAGAACAGTTGATTAAAAATTAGATCTGACGTCTAATAAGTAACGCAGTGCACTAAGCCTGCTCTAGACACTGCACTTTGTGTGACCTCCCCAGCTTTACATCAACTGTGTGTAGTCTTTGTCAAATTTTCAAGGTTTCTTTTGCATTAATTCTGTACTTCGGGCTCCCTCTGCCGGCTCTGTAACTGTCTCCACACGGCCTCGCTCAGCATTGCTCTGCCCAGGAGGAATATTTAAAATTATTGGGCTGGAAATTGGGCAGCCAGAGCTCCCCAGGCAGCAGCGCTTCCTTTGACACGACCCTTGTGCTCTGTGTTGTGTTTGTGCGTTGAGTTTGGTATCTTCTTCCCAGTTGGGGTACTGTGAGGTCCGATCCTTCCTGAGGGCATTATCGGGATGGGAAGGGCTATTAATTATTAAGGCTTTCCACAGTGATACCTGATTGCAGACCCATACATGCTTTGCATGGCTGAGCAACTTGCTGACTCACTGGAAACACAGCCATTTTGCAGAGTTGGTGTAGATGAATGCAAGTAATTTCCGCTGATGGGAAAGACATTGGTCCTGAAATGACCAAGACTGTACAGGAAATGTGGGTGTGATTCCAGATTCATGCCACCATTAACACCTGCAGAGCACGGTTCAAGACACCCTCCTGCTGATTGGGCAAATTAACCTGCCACAAGCTGGTCTGTCCCGGGCATCCTGCTGAAGCAGCTGATTGAGGTTTGCTACTGGAGAAACCGAGCCCAGCAGATAATTTTCCCCTCTAACCCTGACACCTCTCCCACAGAAACCACTGGCTCGTGTCTGACAAGCTGTTGGGTGAAGAGCAAACAGTGTGTGGGAGCTGATGCCGAGCAAGTGTCCTTAGTCATGGGGGTGCTGCCAGCCCCACCACGCGCGGATCAGGCGTTTGCTGCCTGTGCTCGGCACGAGGGGCGGCTGCCGGGGCGCGCGGGGCTTGGCGGGGATGCTCGGCTGCAGAGTCATTGCTGTGGAAAAAGAAGAGTAGGAGCTGTGCAACGTGTTGGGCTCACAAGGGAGCCAAACTGTTCCAATATTAATAAGAAAATCTGCTGTGTTTTTTTTTTAACAGCCAGCATTAACCTAATTCAGGATTTTTTTCTGTGGTTAATGTTGATATGAGATTTTTCCATACCCCCGCAGCACTGCTGGATTAGCTCAGTGAATCTCCTGTCTGTGCTTATATATGCAGTTAATAAACTGCTCTGTGCTGCCCTGGTTTGTTAGAAGGTGGCTGTTGCCTTTTCACAGTCTTGTACATGGGATTTAATCATATAAGCTTCCCTCAGGTCACTGCCACCTCCACGAGGAGCCTGCTGAATTACAGGGTGTTCTTGTTGATGGATGGGCTTTTGATAGAGGCTGCGTTTTTATAACTAGGGAGATTTTTCTTTCTCTGGTCACAATAGTATCAAAATGCAATTTAGAGGGCTATTAAGACATAGCCTCTGCTAAGACACAGCATGCTGATTTTTTTGATTCAGAGGCTTCCCCAGGAAGGGGAGGTGGCTCACATGAACCCCCAGTTCCCCTCTGTTTCTCCAGGAAGATCAGGAATTGCTGCTGCCTTGTGCCTGTGACACTGCCCCCATGCTGGTGGGATGGAGCCATCTGCCCTCAGCGCAGGATGGTGGCACTTCCTTACCCCCACAAGGGGTACAGGGTCCTTACCTGCACACAAGACAGGGCAAAAGCATAAACTGGAGGGACCGCTTGTGGGAGTGGGGGATTTTGAAGCATCAAGATCCTGGCTCACTGGCACAGATGCAAACTGAAACCCCTTTCCTGGAGGACTGTTTAATATTGGCAGCATGTGTTTACCTGCACTGACCTTTTCAAGTGAAGAGCTGTGGGCCTCTCTGCTGGGGCTACCTACTTTTTCAAATTATTTGTGTGTATTTGGAGGAGGGGACAACCATCAGGTCATAAGAGGCCAGGATCATGTTTTGGCCGGAGGGTATCCAAAATCACCTGTGAGCTCTGATAATTGAGAGTGCTCCATGCAGATTCTTGCTCCAAATGTTCTGCTCCAGTTCCTACTGCTGAACGGCTGCTTGTGCTCCTGTCCCTTCCCCAGGCACCTGCCAGCACTGCCAGGACAACACTGAGGGAAGCCACTGCGAGCTCTGCAAGGAGGGTTTCTACAGAAGCACCCTCCTTGCCCACGCCTGCCATCGCTGCCCATGCTCCACCGTGGCATCGACTGGCACCTGCCGAATACGTAAGGCTTTCGTTTTGGTCTAATTCCTCAGATAATGAATGTAGCTCCTTTCAATTAAATTGCCACTCAGAGTGCATCAGCCTAGTGAGGCGTTTTATAGCCTGTGAATCTCCTGTCTGTGGGAACCAGGGCACCTTGCTGGAAGTGGCGTCTGCCACAGTGCCTCCCTGGGGCTTGTGTCATCTCTTGTGAGAGCATCTGTGCAGTGGAGGGCATCAGAAGTGCTTCGCTACAGGCTGCAGCCTGCCCTGAAGAACCTGCAGGGTTTTGCAGAGAGAAACTGCTGAGCTTGTGGCAGGCAGGAGAGGTGCAGGAGATGCCCAGCTGTGCCCTGTAGCCGTCCACAGCTCTGTGAGCACTCTTCTGAACATGTCCATGGGACTCCAAGCAGAGGTTCCCTAATCTCCCTGCTCTGTTTTCATGTAACCAAGAGGAGAAGTCATAGCTGCAATAATCATATGTAAAACTTTTTTTGATACTTCCTAAATCAGTTTTGCAATCAAGCCATCTCAGGCATTGTGTAGGCCAAAAAGTTCCTGCAGATTGCCAGCATCCCCGATACGGTTCCAGCTGTTTTCTGAAATTGGCTGTTTGAGATGGAAATGTTCAAGAGCAATAATCTATTTGCTTAGCAACATGCTGAGCGTGCTCTGTGATGCTGGTACAGAGGCATCAGAAACCCCCAAAGGTTTTTTTTTTCCCCCTAGGAGCATAGGAAATATTCAAAATTTTTCTTTTCAGCTTAAAATTTGAGATTGTTTAATACTCAGTGGCTGCTGATTTTTGTCAAGTGACTTGTGGTCAGGTACCATGGAACAAATCCCACAGCAGGTGTTTCTCTGCAATACCTGGTTTGCTTTCTGTATTCCTTAGAGCCTGGCGAAACCACCCCAAGGTGTGACAAATGCAAAACGGGGTACACTGGCCCCAACTGCAACCAGTGCGACAACGGCTACTACAACTCCGACAGCATCTGTGTAAGATGTAATTGCAACGGGAACGTGGACCCAGCGCAATCCCCCAGCGTGTGCAGGCCAGAGAGCGGGGAGTGCATCGGCTGCCTGTACCACACCGCCGGGTTCCACTGCGAGGAGTGTGAGGAGGGCTACGTCCGAGACCCCGAGGGGACCAACTGCACCAAGAAAGGTAAAGCAGGCTCCTCAATCAGTGCCGAAGCTTGCTGTGCAGCTCAGGTGGGCACAGGCTGCCTGAAAGCAGGGGAGGGAATACTGTTAATTGTTAATAGATTAGTTCAGATTCATCTGGCCTGTTGGTACAGGGCAGGAAGCCAGAGCTTTACAACACATCGGTGCCTACTGGCCTTGAAATCTGTGTTTTAGAATTAGGTCTGCAACCACCCTGATTCCGAGACTGTGGCAGGCACCTCTAGTGAACAAGCTGGAAAACAAAAACTATCTGCAGTATTTAAATGAAGATTTTCAGATTTCCATTGCCTGATATACTTGAACTCTTAGTGCCCAGTGAGTTGTCCTTATTGACTGGTCCATTCAATAGGACTGTGTAGTTCCCTAGAAAGGGTGTTTGTAAGAGATTTTGTCACTCCTCATACTCTGCAAAGGATAACTATTTTTTTTTTTTTTTTTTTTCTTTTTCTTTTCTAAATGGGGAAGCCAAGCTCAGAGAGGTGAGATCCAAACTTGCACGGTGAGTCAGTGCTGGGATTTACTGGTGCCTGCTCTGGGGCACTCTCATCAGCCTTCAGTCCCTATCTGAGACACTGCATGCAGCATCTCAGATCCAGACTAGCTCTGGTACTAAGAGAGGCTACTGGGCAGCAGGAGGACTTGTAGTAAAATGAGAGAAAATGGTTCTTAAGTTGCTTTTTCAGTGGTTATCAGGAGATTGGTCCACAAGGTGGATCTCCAGCTCCATGCATGAAAACATTACTGGTGTTATGTATTAGATAAGAGAACCCAGAGTTCAGGAAAGCATCTGGGCCCAGATTCATCCTTGTCACCAACAGAGATTTAATTCAGATCTTCCATTAGGAGCTAATGTGGTTTTCACTCCCATGCTGCTCTCTGGAGGTGTAATCACAGAGTCCTTCTCGGCGCGGGGAGATGATCAATACAAAAAAGTTGAATGCTCATTAGCTGTAACTGTACCGTTACAGGGCTGGAAACGGCACTTTTGCATCGGGTCATCCATTATCTCCCCCTGCACAGCTCTGCCTTTGTGCAAAGAGCTACATGACCTTGCTCCATTAAAATCTGTATGTATGGCTTTGCTTGTGTACTTGCAGTTTTCACCATTCAGTTTTATTTTAATGGCATTGTTGTAGCCAACTCCTGATGTGGGGAAAGACTGTCCCCTTTCAAAGGGACTGAGACATGCTCTTCTATCTTTCCTGTCTCCTTGGCACCTGTTTTTTTTCCCCTTTTTTATTAAGCAATTAAAAAGGTGTACAGTTTCTTTCCAGTTTCTTACACACAATTTGCCTAAAAATTGATATGCTGAGGTACTCTGCATTAACTAGTTTTAGGTTAAGATTTTCATAAGCCATTAGTGCATCTGAATGCCCTGGTTTTGAATGGCTTCTAGAACGAAATCATCAATCAGACTCTATTTAAGTGGTCAAGGCTGATGGAAAGCCTACTCAGAGGACATGTGGAATAACCAAAATCAGGGTTTTTGACCCCTGGGTGGATGGTGTTCCTGCTGCAATGGTGAGGCAGAGCAGCAAGGACTTAGTGATGCAGCATGGCACTGTGCCACCCAGCCGAGCATCACAGCCTTCCCCGAGAGCTGGCGCGTGGGCTGCTGGCACGGCCCTGGCTCCTGCCAGTGCTCATTCATTGCAGGAGGTAGCAGAAGCTTTGCAGAGACTGCATTTCCATCAGGCAGCTGGATATGACACATCAGAGCTGCCAAAGCAGCCCATTGACTGAACAGCTGCTGCTCTCAAGGAGCTGCTTCAGGACATCTGGAGGGCTGGCACGGCCCTGGGGAGCGGAAACAGGCATCGCCGTGCCACAGTCCAAAAGCGATGATCCACGGGTTGTCAGAGCATGGCACTGTTTCGCCGTGACGTTACCATCAGTTCCAGGAAATGTTTTCACCCCTGTCCCCCTTGCCAGCACTTAGCTGATGCTGACTCACAAATAAAGCCCAGAGAAGTCCTGTTTCCTTGCTGGTGAATCAGCCATTGTCTCTGTTCTGTTTTTTTCTAATTATAGCTCCTGGCAGGGTTTGCCAAGAATTGAGTGTTGATGAAGGAATTTGGAAAGGATGACTGAATTCCTCATGCCCTTCTCCCAGAGCTGTAACCAGGAACCTCTTGTTCCTGTCATTTTGCTTTCTACTGCAAAATTCTGCCTGTTATCCCATAGAGAAATGCTTCCTGGCATTCAGCATCCTGAGCATCCTTATCAACCTAAAGCAGGACCTGCAGATAATAGAGGAGCCGCTGCAGGGAGGGACTCTGAGCACGAGCCTAAATTAGGTGTGTGATGGCCCCTCCAGAGGAGTTTTTCTCCATTGCCTGAACTGGGAATGTGACAGCCCAAAGTTAACTCGTGGGAGTTCCCCTGAGGGCTCATGGCAGGAGACGCGCTGAATATTTCTAGCTCCTGTTGCCATTGGAGATGCAACTTAGTGCAAAATTAGTCCTTCGGAAGTGACTCTCCTCCTCAGTCATAATTAGTAGACATTCTCTTCAGGAGAGCTGGATCAATACAGCACAGCACTATCAGCTGTAATTGCTGCAGCTGTGAGTGGGTTTAAAATGAAGTTGCATTTCTATCAGAAAGAGAAATGGAAGAAAGTGGGAAAGAGGGTGCAGAGAGTCCTGAAGAGAACATTTGGGTTGATCAAGGCTTCAGCTTCTGTAGGGTTCCTGCTGCCTGGACTTCAGAATATAAATCTATCAGGTTACTCCTGTGAAGAAAATGGCTTATTACTTATATTTGGGGGCCTGATACTCAGGCTCTATGGTGCTTTCTGAGGCCTGTACCTTAACTGGTTTGAAGAAGGAGTAATGAATTTCCATCCCACTGATGAGGGATCTCAAGTGTTAACTTGTTGCTGACTCCTAGACCTGGGAAGGGAGTTATCCCACATCTGCTGGAAGGATGGTGGGTTCTTGGCTATTTTGTGCCGGTGAACGGGCTGCAGAGGAGATGGAGCCTGTGGCACGGTCTGATAGTTCCCGTGTTCTTGTCCTTCATGTGCGGACATATGCCAGCCACTGAAACCAAAACGGGATCCAAACTGGCTTCTGCTGCACTCAAAAGCTTCATAAGAACATCTGCAGTCTTTTTTTTTTTTGTTGTGATTCGGCTGCTTTCTGCTTCTGGTTATACAGACTGGGGGTTTCCGTGAGTTTTATGTACAACTTCAACATTCAAAAGCAGAACTGGGATTATTTTGCCCTTTTGCGTAAAGCAATGTAAATATTGAAAGCTGTTGCTAAACACTGTGACAACTCATGGTTCATTTTTTTAGTTTTGATCATCTTGCACAGGTAAAGCAGAAATAATCATGTTGTGAAAAAAATCCTACACCTAGTGTACTGTGAAAGCTTTAAGCTCCTGGAGTTGCTGTGTCCCCCCAGCCTGATGGTGCAGTCCATGTAGACAACAGTTGAAACTCTGCCTTTGTTAGGTTCAAAGTCCAAACTCTTGCTGAGCTTGGTAGAGCCCCATTTTCATGGGGTGAATATGAGCTGGGCTGGGTGGCTTGCTTCCATCATGAACTCATGTATCTCACACTGAATCTTGGCTACTGCACCTATCCATCCATCACCAGTTTTTTCATAGGAATGCTGCATTCAGTAAGCGCTTAGCACACAGATTTATTTATAAATACCAAACCCAACCCTGTCTAGTCATTTCTCTAAACTATTTTGAAAAAATAGCAGCTTTAACAGCATAGACTTAATTGCCATAAAAATTGTGATATTAATGTCAAATCTCTTATGTTTGTGTTTGATTCCATCAACATATTTTTATTGCTTGTTTTTTATTTGTTTTGTAGAAGCCACTCTTGGCCCAGAAACAAGGGAGTTTACAACTTCTGCTCCAAATGCCAGCAAGGAAACATCATTTTCAACAGCAGTGATAAACAGTACCTTGTCACCAACAACTATACAGACTATATTTCCTTTAAGTTCCTCTGACAATAGTACCTCTGCTTTTGCAGATGTTTCATGGACTCAGTTTAACATAATTATTTTGACAGTTATCATCATTGTTGTGGTCCTACTAATGGGCTTTGTGGGTGCTGTCTACATGTACCGTGAGTATCAAAACAGAAAACTTAACGCTCCTTTTTGGACCATTGAACTCAAAGAGGACAACATCAGTTTTAGCAGCTACCATGACAGCATACCCAACGCTGATGTTTCGGGGCTGTTGGAAGATGATGGGAATGAAGTCGCACCGAATGGACAGCTAACACTGACAACTCCCATGCATAATTATAAAGCTTAGAAGAAGTCATCCAGCTATTCCAAAGTTGGCTTAAGAAAGTTACGGGGCTCGCTGAAGGAGTATCAAGATCCGTGCCAAGGCTCCACGCAGAGGAATTTGCTCTTCAGACACTCTTACGCTGGGCATGCTGTAGTTTGCAGGTGAACAGAAAAAAGTGTAGTACATCCGAGTATCAGGTAATATGGTGAAATGTATCCAGTGTCCTGTTGTCCATAAAGATCCATAGAATTCACTGTTAAGGACTTGATTATGCTGATCTGAAAATATTCTTTTTTTTAAACGAAGAGGTTGTGGGGTGGAGAATGAAGTACCCCGTGATTAATCAGAAGCTACTTGATTTCCAACCAACCTATGTCTGCATCCTTTAGTTTGAAAAGTAGCTCATGAATTAACAGTGGATTTTCAGGAGATAGACCTCTGTAAAGGCTTCATATTAGTTCCTGATACAAATTTGTTTGAAAAGGAGGACAAAAAAAGGGAAATCGTTGACTGTACTACCAAAAGGCAAGTAGAGGAGTGAGTTGCACACTTGAAAAAAGTCACCATTATCAGTTTCCACTAAGCAGGAAAACAAATTCATTAAAATATTGGACTTATGGAAAAGACTAAGCTTTTCCCTTTCTGAGTATTTATACAGGGTGATGATGCTATTAACACATAGCAATCCATTTTTGTTTTTTCTAGAAGGAGTTAATGAACTTGTATAGTTTCTGTGCAAGGGAAGACGACAAGACATCTCAGGGTTGCCGTGTACAAATAAAAGCTAGGCTTAATACCCTACCCTGATAGAAATGGTGTGTTCTGTATATAAAATGTAATATATCTTCTTGGAATTGTATTTGTAATTATTTGTAAAAAAGACAACCAACCAACCAAAAAAACCCCAACAACAAAACCATGAGCCCATCTCCAACCTCCCCTATTCCCCAAGTCATATTTTATCATCTAGATTTTAATTGTACAGCGGTTAGTGGCGTTGTTTAAAAAGAAAAAATGAGGATTGTTTAAAATACTGTAAATTAGATGGCAATATTGTTGGAGCTGGGACTCTGGCAAACACCGACTGCTTAAAGCTTTTCTTCTAGTGTCATTGAATAACTTTCTTTTTTAGAGAAAATGTGAGTGCTCCCTACTTGCATCTGTCAAATTTTTCCATTCCTTTAAATAGAAAGTGAATACCAGTGTCACCATGACTAGGCCCTAGTAGGTGTCAAAAAGTCGGATGTACCATTCTGTTACTTGCTTTTAAATCTTTATACAAAACGCAAATACACTGTCATGAATGCATTGAGAGCCTGATCTCGATGGCCGAGCTCTTCCGAAGCGGCTGCTCATCATGTGAGTGGATCTCGCTGCCATCTCCCCCGTGCTGATATGGTGACAGGGCGGGGGGGTGTGTGTGTGCCAGAGGGCTGACTGCAGCCTCCTGGCCTCTTGAAGGGCAAAAGCAAAAATCTCCTGGATTTGGGTGGAAATGGCTTTCAGCCGAAGAGTTGCAGGAGCCAATCTGTGCTTCTAAGCTTAAAAGCTAAAAGTGCATGGATGCTTTCAGGAAATTTTATGTAGCACAAGGTGGTGGTGGTGAATCATCTGTCAAAAAAACCTACAGGGGTCTTTAGGTTTTACAGATTCCCCTGATTTTTTTTGGAGTCTGGCAGACTATTAGCAGAGGGATAACAACTAATGGGCAGCACAGCACGGGGAGACTGCAGCATGGAGCTCCTCACTTGGTACCTGCAGTGTGCACATGTGCTTTGAGGCAGGCACCGTGCCCTCCCTGTGCCGGGGAGCCGCCAGGTCTGACCCGTGAAAATCAATACCATTACTTTTAAGCAGGGCGTGAAACACATATTTCACCTAACTAATGACCAACCTCAGAACTAAAGCTGCATTGACATGCATGTTGGTGCTTTGCAAGGGATTGATGCTGAGGATAAATGAAGTACCTGCTAAAGGTCAGCAGGAGCTGACTGATGCATCCTCAGAGCCAGGCAAAAGGAAATATTTCTCAAGATGAGAAATGGTAGGAAGAATGTGGTGATTATTTATTTGCTTTCTGGTGCTGCATGGAGGCTTTTCTTACCATTGGAGACTGGGGAGGGGGGAATAGGTGCTTCAAACACATGCACAAAGATGCCATTTCTGCCTCAAAAACTTGCTGCCTGATTTAAAGATGGGGCATGGCAAGTAAGAAGGAAAAGACTTGAGGGATGACCAAGGAAAACCAGTGCGGCAGAATGAGGTATTGCGTATAGGCCTGAGCTGATGGAAAGCTCCCGTCGCCTGCTATGGGCCTGCGTGAGGCCCTGTGGTTTAGGCAATAAATTTGGCTGATGTCATTCAAAGCAATGTTACTTTTAGTTATAAAACGGAGGAGGACTGGAGGAGAAAATCTGGATATTGCTAATCCTTGAGTTACTCATCAAACTTTTACAGAGCAGAGTGGTGACAAAAAAAAATAGAAAGTTTGCTAAAAATTGTAACTATTTAGCAGTGCTGATTTAGCGATACGCTTGCACTTGGTCACTTCATAGGGTGGGGAAAGGTAATTTAGGAAGTGTTAGCTTCTGGGACTAATGCTAGCAGGCAAAGTGAAGGACAGATTGTTCACTTTAATGTTTCAAAAATATTTTTAGGAGATCTTTTAATCTTTGCCACAAAAAAACCTCTTCCGAAAATCTTTGTATGACTGTAGGCTACTGTGTAACAGGAACAGGCTTTGATTTTTTTTTCTCTCTGTACAAATAATGACTGTCTGCAAAACCAGGGCGAGTTCAGATGCTGAACCCTCCTAATCCACAGCACAGGAGGTGTTTGCATCTGCACTGCTTCTGACCTCCAAATTGCTCTAATTGCCTTGGGTTTGAAAAGAGGAAGAGGTCAGGCTGCCCTACAGTCAGCCTGCAAAGGAGGACGGACCAGCTATGCTGGGGTCTGTGGGTTGCACGTCTGGCCCCCGCAGATGTGATGTGAAGCTTGGTTGGGCAGAGGGGACCAGGCTGCCCGGGTTTGGACAGCAGAAGAAAGCACAGGATGTTCTTCAGCAAGGAAGTGGCACTGGGACAATGCTTGTCAGGTGGCAGAATAACTCGGCAGGAAAATACCAGCCGTCTCCAGCCAGCCAGGACTTTGGCACAGAGGAACAACCTTTATAAAAGGAGGTCAATGCCTCAGCAAAGAAAGAATAAACAGCTTCGTGTTTGACTTTAGTGATGTGAGATTAGATCTTCCTTGTGCTCTCCATCAATCATGCAGCTGTTCCCTGGGCACCACAGGAGGTGAGGAAGAAGCTGAGCTAGTTATAGCTCCAATTGCCTTAGGCTGGCCCCCCTGTATTTTGAGGGGGTAGAGAGCTCAAACATCTGTGCCAGGGTACTAAAGGCCGCCAGGACCACTGACCTGCCACGTGTTACAACTTGTCATGACACTTCCCAGATGCTGAGGTTTGCCTAACGCCACGCTGGGGTATGGGCAGTTAAACCAGAAACGGACTTACAGGCCTGCATTGAGGCCCAGCTGGGAAGCTAGCAAGACAAGGTGGGGGGCATCCAGGTGACTTCTAGGGCTGATGTGGCAGTACTGGTACCTGTAGTATTCCTGAAGGGCCACCATGCATCAGCTTCTAACTGGGCGTGCTGCCGTGTGGCTGCAACAGGGAAAGGCAGCCGCTGGCACGGTACAGTAGCTGTAGAGCAGAGAGAAGGTACGACAAGGCAGGTGAGGGTTGGGTGAATGTGGGAAGCCAGCTCTCAAGGCACAATCCTCAAGGTCGTGAGGGCCCTGTGGACCCAGCTGGTCTGGATGGGGTGAGTTCAGTTCCATAGTCACGTAACTGAAAGCGAGAGGATATAATGGAGCAGATAAAGGGCAAAAAGCAATGATGTGTCAAAGGCATGGGGCAGCCTGGATGGGTCACAAGTTAGGAGAGCGTTTGGTGAGCACAGAGTGCAACAGACATGCAAAAAAGTGGTTGGGTTAATGTGAATGATGATCTTGAATCTTATGAACCGCTGTAGCTAGAAATAACTGCATGGAGCACGAGCCCTGGGGAGCTGTCAGATGTCATCCATTGGAATGATAATTCCCTTGGACCGGGCTGAGCAAACTTAGCACGCTGGAAGCCATTTCTGAAAGAGGAAGGGATGTATTCAGCATCCTTCAGGTACCCTGGGCCAGTTAACTGCTGCTATACGGCATCTTTAACTCAAATGTTACATGCAATGTAAATGTGGCAGAAAGTTTGCACAGTCTCCTTTAAATAAAGGATATAAGATTGAATCCTAAAAATACATTTCTCTTTAAAGTGAAGTTTAAAAATGAGCTCCCACAGGACTCTGCTCTTCATATGTCAGAGGAAAGGATTAAAATAAGAAAAATGTGGGCCTTAAAAGTTGTACTTGCTCCCAACTGAAACCCATCAGTCTTACTACACATCCAAATAAGGAGTCTCCTAAGCATATGCTATGCTTACAAATGCATTTCTAAAAAAAAAAAAAAAAGTGTATGATTTGAATATATGTCAGAATTTATACAGAAGAATGTTATTTAAAATGAATAAAAATAAATGTATATAATTTGTATCTATGCCACTTGGATTTTTGCATTTGTTTTTTGTTCATTAAAGTTCAGCAGGAGTCTTTCCACTGATAGCAGCCGGAGCTGGATTGAAACCTAAAGAGCTGAATCTGATTCTCATCCCAGTAGTGACATTTGTTCCAAGAGAACTATTCCTTCATTATACCCCTCTATGTGAGATGAGAACTATGGCACAGAAATGTTTTTTAACATCAGATATTCATAAGTACAGTTGACATCCTATGTCAGATAATCCATCTAAAAAAATGAGCCCCGTGATCTCTTGTGTCTCCTTATTAACCATTCCAGCTTTCAGCTACTTTCATTAACATGTTTGGTGGCCAGACAGTCAATGTGTATTTCTGCAGTATTGTCTGTAATATTCACATGCATATATTTTGTCAGAGATGTATGCAGTCATTAAAAATGAAACCTACAGAGCAAAGCTAGAAATTGGAAAAGGATATGGTATCAGATTTTTCTTCATGACAACAATGGATCTTTCAAAGGAAATTTATATTATCAGATACTCTGAAATCCACATCTGCAGTGTCAATAGTTTTGAACAATTCTGATAGTCTCTGCAAAAGGACCTATGGAAAACTTGCATTTCATTTTCACTTGTTGGTGTTAGGAAATTGATTTTTTTGGCACAGAAGCAAATGCAAATGCTAAAGGCTAGTCTTTTTTGCTGAATGTTATGTCTAACTCTTTGGCCCTTATTAAGTAAATAACTTGAAGAGATGTTAAGTCAGCATCAATTAAGTGAGCAAACTTGAAACTTAAGCATTTGTTCAAATGTTTAACTGAGCCAGAGCTACACAAGGGCCACACTGGTGAAATTCCAGAGGGTTTCTTGAGACCTGATTCGCATTAGCAGAACAGTTTGATTGTGTATGACTTAGCTTTGGAGGAATTTTGCTCTGAACTGTAACAGGAGGAGACATAACTGAATGCTGAACCTGGTTCCCAGAATGGGGATTTGAGAACAGGGTGGCAAGGAGGACTCATGCTCAGCAGACAGTGACATCCGTCCTCCTTGTGCCACCATCGCACTTCAGCCCCATAGCACCGAGCAGCTGCTTTCATCCTGCTCCCTGGGAGTTTGTGGTCAACGCAGCCATGCCGCTACACTCACCATAAGTATTTATTTTCCCAGACTCCCTTCAGTACTTTGTTTCTGAGGTGGTAAGGATCTCAGACTGCCTTGTAAAGCAGGAAAGTGCCATTCCAATATGATTTCCTGATACGAGGATTTAGCATCATCTCCTTAAATGTTAAGATAAGGTTAAACAACATTAAGCGGATTATCAGAATGCAAGTTGTTAACTGCTCCTAAAGAATACATTTCCCAGCCCTTTGCAGGTTCTTGGTGCTCCTACAGATTTTAAAACATTGGGCAGTGCAGCAACCCAGAGAAATTTTCCTTCATGTCTGTCTGTATATACATGTATATATCTATATGACTTTGTCCATCAGATAATCGTTTCATGAAGGGATAAACTTAAGGAGGGCCCTGCTGATTTCCTTTTGAAAGATAGTATGTTGGGACATAAACCATGGCTCTGCAGACACAGAGGTGCCATGCCAGCCCACAAGCAATGAATGATTTGTGCTGTACTTGTGGCTGATGGATGCTGATTTAATGGCATGCATCAAATATGTAACGTCTTACTGTAACCTTAAACAAGAGCAAATTGGTATCATCCTTTCAGTATGTGGATTCATTCATTTTATGAAGATCCGCTCTGTAAACAAGTGAAGCCACATTAGATCCTGGTGCCATATGGCAGACCCGATTTTGCAAACATAACTTCAGTTTGGCAGAAGGAGAGGCCACTGCAAAAGGGGACCCAGTCACATAAGGTGACGTCTCTCGAGGGCCATGGAGGAGTTGAAGGGACTGAACATGTCTTAGGGTCATCAGACCCCAAATGCAAAGCATTAAGTCATGTTCAGTAGGATAGGAGGCGAGATTAAGTTGTGCTTAGTTGTGCTAAGCAGTGCCTGGCATTTCCTGGAAGTTTGAACACTAACAGCTGCTTCATCATGCACTTTTACACATAAAACTGAAAGACAGAAGTCAGGGTGGGAAGCGCACCATGACCATAGACATGGCTGCAATGGCCACTACCACCATTCTAGGGCATGTTACGGGCTTACAACTTTCATCTGTTCTGAACAGGAAGCAGAGGTGGTGCAGGTACGTGGAGAAAATGGAGCTAACACAGCACCATGACAATTTGGAATAATAAAACCACAAAATTAACATGGCCATGGTCAGCCCTTATCTGTGGCCTATTTACTGGTCAGGTAAGAATCCCCTTGAGACAGCCCAGGTGACAGTGAGCAAGTGAAACCTGACACACTCTCTACCGAAGAGGAAACCAAATCTAACGCTTAAGCACGTGGTTACTCCTGCAGATGAGAGCCAGGTAAGTGTCTTGCTGGAACAGAGTGTCCTCACATTACAGGTAATGCTGAGAGTAAGTCTTAGCACAATGCGCTGGTTGAGCTTGTAAATGTATTTTAACATGTATTTTTAACTGCCATAAAGTATTTTAATTCTACTCACAGGTTTCCAATACTGAATTAAAAAAGAGGGTGAAGAGCATGAGAAGTAAGATGAGGTTTGGAGCTCCACCTGCTCCCGGTGCCATCAGGCCAGGCCAGGCCCTCCTCTGTGCTCACCTGCAGGGCCAGCAGTGCCTGGGAGGGGAAACGGGGACAGTATTCAATGCAGTTTAACATTTCCAACTGCTGATGTTCTGAAATGTTCAACATCATTGCATCTTCTCCCCCAAAAAGCGGGAGAGCTGCAACACTGAGACGGTTTCAAAATCAGCCTGTTTCAATACAGGACGGATTACGATAGCAGCTGGCTTCCTGGATTTTCACCTCTGCCAGTTACAAAATACTGACCAGAATTTGAAACTAAAGCTTAATTATTTCTCTCGCCCAGTCTGATGGCGGTGTGGCGCCGTGGAGGACATGGAAACAATCAGCTCCAGCGGCTCTGCCAGGCCTGGCTGGAGCTCGGGGTCCCGGCACACCCCAGCAAAAGCTTCTTCCAAATGCGTGTTTCTTGGAGCAGGGCCCGAAGGCACCGGGGACAAGGCGGGAGCCGCTCCCCCTGGCCGCCGACCGGCCCCGCTCGCAGCCCC